TTTTTTTTTTTTTTTTTTTTTTTTTTTTTTTTAATTAAAAACTGTATTATCTATTAGGGGAATGGGAACTTCTACCAGAGTTTTCCTTGTTCTGGATGACTGTGATACTTGCAAATGGTGATTGTTCAGTCTCACTTGTGGTAGAGACCCCTCGTAATTGCACACGAAATACTTAAACACTCATATCGATGCAACTAATCGACGACAAAGAGCTGCCAGAATAGGAACGCAGATAATTGAGGAGGGTTTGGAGACTGTCTGAGGAGAAATACCTTAGAAATTACCACTGGCTCATGTATAGTAATACTTTTCATGCAAAAGACATGATGCAGCACGATGTGCGAAGTGAGAGGGTTACAGGAAATGCAGAAGGATTTGGCAGGCACAGAGAGAATGCACTTTGAGGCTCGAATCCATTTTACCACTTACCCCAGAGCCCCCATTCCCCTCCCTCCCGAGCTCCCCTGGGTCACCTGCATCTCCCACGGAGTCCTGAGCTCCAGACAGGTTACCTGAGCTCCCACGGGCACCTGAACTCGCCTCGGGCCCCCTCAGCTCCCCGGGCCACCTGGAGCTCACACAGGGCTCTGAACTCCTCACGGGACCGACGAGCTCCCACGGTCGTACCCCAACCCCCTCCTCCCCTTCCCCCCAGTTGCCATGGGCCGGCGGGCACTCACCCCCTTGCCCAGCCGCCTCTTGATCTCGTACTTCTGGCACACGAGCGGCTCCACCTCAGGCGGGCTCATGGCGGCGCCTCCCTGTTGGCCGCCGCTGCCATGGAAACGGCGCCGCGCGCCCCCGCGCACGCGCAGCGCCCCCGCGGGCGGCCGCCGGGCGGCGCCCTCGCCCCGCGCGGGGGCGGGGAGGGCAACATGGCGTCACTTCCGGTTAACGGGCACGGCGGCCCCCGCGACGTGTGGGGGGCAGAGAGAGAGAGAGAGACAAGGGAGGGTGCAATAAAGACAAACTAATTTCTTGAAGGGACCGTGAATATTCGTAAAATACTTAAGTCAGAAAAAAAAAAAGGAAGAAAAATTTAAAAAAAGACCAGGCGTGTTTAAATCCGCTGCCGGGGCACCGCCCCTGGGGGGAGGCCTGTTGGGCCGGGCCTGGGATACCGCCAGTGGGGAGGCTCCGGCGGGCAGGCCCGGGCGGCCCGAGATGTCGCCGTGTGGGGCCGGGCGGCCCGAGGTGTCGCCGTGTGGGCCCGATATGTCGCCGGGTGGGCCCGGGCGGCCCGAGGTGTCGCCGTGTGGGGCCGAGATGTCGCCGTGTGGGCCCGGGCGGCCCGAGGTGTCGCCGTGCGGGCCCGGGCGGTACTTCTGCACGGCGGGCCGGGGGCTGGAGCCCTTCCTCGCTCGGGAGGTGCGGGCGCGGCTCGGCGCCACGGAGGTGAGCGGGGAGCTGGAGCCCGTGCCCAGCCGAGCGGGGCGGTCCAGCCGGGGACAGTGCCCCGCGGCGCCCGACCCGGGGGCGGTCGGAGGGGCCTCTGCACCGCGGGCCGGGGGAGCCGCGTCCCACCGCCACCCGAGGGGCTCACCCTCAGCTCCCGTGCTCTCTCCGCAGGTGGACTGCGTCTCGGGAAAGGTGTTTTTCAGCGCGGCGGCGGGGCCGGGCGAGCTGAGGAAGCTGCGGTCGGGGGAGCGGCTGTTCCTGCTGCTGAAGAAGCACAGCCCGCTGACAGTGTCTGGGAGCAAAGGTACGGTGCGGGAACGGGAACCCGCAGTTCGAGCCCTAGTAGTAAAACTTGTATTTTAGGTGTTTATCTTTTTACTGGTGGCTGGTAGTTCTTTTTACTGGTAGTTCTAATCGACAGTAATCGATTCTGAAGTGTCTTCCGCTCAGTGTCTTTTTTCACCTGAAAAGGGCTTTTAAATTATTTTCAATGGATACTTTCCAGACTACATTCTGATGGCGCTGAATGTATAAGAACCGCCCCTACCCCGACCGCTCCCATAAAAGAAAAGAACAAACACCTCACCCAAAGTCCAGTTCTGGATCCCTTGTGTTCATTTTAACAATAACTCATTTTCTGTTAGAGTGGATCCAGGCCTATATCCTATGTCACTTGTTCAATGCACAGGTTCCTTGTAAATGTCAGCTACTTGGGTCACATACTCTGTCAGTGTAGAGTAAGAATTTCAAGTTAGATGAATTGATATCTGCCTGCCGGTGGGTTTCTGTTTGGGAGATCACAGATCGCTAATATCCTTCAGCTTTGAGGATCAAATTTGAGATTCTAAAATTTTGAGTGAGAACTAGGAAAACTTTCTTTTTTTTTTTTTTTTTTTTTTTTTTTTTTTTTTTTTTTTTTTTTTCATCGTGAGCAGGTTTGAGGTGTTTAGGTGAATTGAATTCTGTATTGCTCGTGTCTCTCTTGTAGTAGCTCAGGAGGACTGCCCACATGTGTAAGCCTAAGTGTGTGTTGCAGGATTGAAGGCAGGTTGATGAATGTAAGGAGGGACTTCCTTTCTGAAAGAATAAATATGTGGCTTCTTGCCTGAGCCGAATCAAAGTAATTCATGTTTATATCTGTCTTTCAATCCTGGAAAGTGTCATACATCTCTTAATCCTAGACTAAGTGCTCTCTGGGGAAGATGACGTGGTAGGCTGGCCCTCTGTTCCTGCTGGGAATGACTCTCAGAGGTGGTGTGGTTTTCTAGAGCTGTTGAGTTTTTGTACAGAATTCATCCCTTGCGTGAATAAATCTTGTTTGTGCAGAGCTTTTAATCGGAGTGTGTCTGCTGGTGGACAGGTGAGTGCTGAGAGCTCAACTGTGCCTGTGGTGTTTGTTGCTGGCTCCTGGATTCACACATTAAGGAAGTCTGAACGCAGTCTCTGTTAACAGCCGTTCTCAGTCTGTAGGAAAATCAAATGCTGAGACTGAACTACTTAGCACAAAACTGCTTTTTTTTTCTTCCAGGGAAAATGCTGCATGAGATTAAAAGCCTTGTGATTGAGGAACCGAAATATTGGTTGGATATTATCTCTGTTTGGAGAAACCTTCATGGATATGAGGGGAAAAAAGGTGATGCCGCTCGAGAAAACCCATTGGCTCTGAAGAGAAAGTCAGAGGAAGAGACAAATTCTGCAAGTAAAAGGCAGAAAACAGAACACGAGAGAGAGGTGATGTCTGAGGAATGTCAGGTGGAAGCTGGAGAGAGGTGTGTGATGCCAGAGAGAATCAGTGATCAGGAGTGTTGGACTGAGAGCAACACTTCCTCAGAAGATCCTTCCAAAGACAGTAGAGAGAATCATACTGCAAATGAACAGCTTAGCTTCAGCTTCAGAGTGTCTTGTCGTTGCAGTGGAGCAATTGCCAAAAAACTGACTTCACAGGTATGCTGAAGTGTCTGTGTTTTAAAAGAATTTAGCGAAGGTGAACAGAGTCATGTTCTAGAATAATAACAAACTGACGTAAGCCTTTGTTTGTATTTTCTCAAAAAGCCCTTAACCTGCGTTTTCCTCAAACAAGTGGAAATACAAAGGCTGTTGTTAATTTCTGGGCGCTACTGTCCTGAACGTTTTTCAGATCAAAGCCTTTTATTGAGAATAAGCAAAGGTACAAGGTTGAGGTAGCTGGGGCCTCTGGAGGCTGAGGAGTGGTCAGATGAGTTTACAGCTGCTTAAAGGGCCATTGTAAGAACTGTGGAGCTAGACTCCTCTCAGTTGTGGCAGGCAGTGTAGAAGAAGGGCCAAAAGCCAGAACTCGCACCTCTTTCTTACTTGAAGCTAACAGTAGTTAGATTTTTTTTTTTTTCCTCCTAAAACTAATACCTTTAGTACTATCTAGTACCACTAGAGGGGGGACACATGAGCCTCCCAACAAATTTGTGAGTTTGAACTCTCATACTCTGAAGGTAGTCAGAGCTTTCTAGAGGTAAGGAAAGCATTAAAATTGTGAGTTACAGCTGTGCATTCACAGGTTTTCTGTTGAGTAATCTGGTTTAGAGCCTTGGGAAATATTTTGTGCGTGCGTTTTAGAATTCTGAGGCGGTGGCAACTTCTGTTGTGACTTGGGCAGGGCTTGATCTCCAGCCTCCCTCAC